AATCACCTTGACTCTTACCTGTATTCACCACACACGGATGCTATTAACATGTGCGAACTCCATTTTTACTGGTGCTCAAGGTGCGGGATGAGGTGGCAGAAACGCAAGAGACTAGCAAGTTGCGAGGGCAGAGAGCAGGCATCCAAGTGCCCAGAGAGCCTTTGCATGTACGTCGGAAACCCGAAGAGGCCCAGACGAGAGGAGTGCGAGAAGTGCGCATGTGTGATGGAGACCGTCGAGAGGTTTAGCGAAGGCTTGTTTTTCATATGAAAACTGCTGTCTCAATTATCGAGCACAACATAACCAGGATAGTGGTAGTGAAGTTCATGAATCATTTGACAACATAGAGTGCATTACCGACCAGATACTACTCAGCCATAATGGGTACCGAGGGCATGTATTCCACCTGTATTCTTTCTATTTAACCCCGGATTGTCATCTTTAGCCCTCTGACAGGGGCCGACGATGCTTAGGCAGTATGATGGGAAAGCGCCCACATGTGCCCCCGAGCTCAGGACGATGGATATCAGGTCCTGGACGAAAAGCGTCCACGACGTGTGCGTGATATCTGGTTTCCCGGTTTCGATATCCATCGCCCCATTACAAGGGGTGCACTGCCTTTTTGGGGGACAAACGGTAGTGGTATATGACCTAACTGTGTATGGGTGGCGCAATGGAAGCCAAAGTCAGGCCATCCTTCCCTCACGCCGCAGCTACGGCCGTGACTGCACCTCCCTTCTTCTTTCTGGCCTTGGCCTTCTTTTTACTCCGATCCCGGGGCTTGAGTGCGGCCATACCTCCCTTGCAGATGTCGGCGTAGGTGGCATAGAAGGATTCCAAAGCATCGGGCTGAACGATTGTAGACAGCTTGATCTTGTCGTCTCTGTGTTTCTTCGACTTGCCGTTTGTCGCGCGCACAATCACAGGGAGCGGATTTGCGGGGTGGAGGTCGGAGAAGGATTCATCGCCGGCTGGTGGTGTCAAGGACGTTTCGTGGCCGTAGGATACTAGATGAAATGATGAGTCTTTGGGTATCTCGGGTGCGGCTGCGAAGCACTGGGCGTACATCTTTTCTGTACGAGGAATATCGAGCCACGTCCCTTGCTCTTGCGTTGTTCGAAAAGCTCGGCCAACTTGCCGAAGAACTATGGTCGAGTGGTTAGCAAGACCATTGGCGTATAGAAGAACACATCAGATGTGACAGGGACGAAGTAGGATAAAGTATACCTCTTCGTGACTGAGGTGGGCTGACATGGTCACCGAAGCGTCTAGCGTCGCGTGCGGCCAGACGATGCACCACGGTAGTAGGATAGTGCAGCTGCGCGGTGGGCTATTCCATCAAAGACGCCAGGAATGATGGGATGTCTGTATACAAAAGCAATCAGTTTGGCGAAGCGGGCTGCTAGGTGCTTGTGTGTGGCCTTGGTCATCCCCCGCAGCAAGGCTATGATAGCGAGCAAGGGTATATGGGCCCCGGACAGTGGGGTTTACTGTTCGGAGCTACCTTACCTAGTACACCTGTCCCGGGGTTTCATACCTTAGCACGATACTTCTCTACTAGACTTTACTAAAACTAGTAATAGCTATATAAAGTTACTTTACTTGCGTTTATATATAAAATATATAAATAATACCGGAATTAATACTCTTAAATCTTAAAAAAATATTTTAAAAATATTATTTATTTATATAATTAAAATATAAGTTAAAATATAAGTTAAAAGTAAAGTAATAAATAGAGTTATAATAGAATTAAATAGAAGTTTTAATATTAGAGCTAAAAGTACTATTTTTAAGTTAGCTATAGAAATTAGGTATAAAAGATAGAATTTATACTTATGGGTCGCCCTCTATGTTAATTCACTGAGCTAACGTATAAAACCCTAGGATAGGTGTATGTAGATGCGACATACTCATGTAGAACCATGAGCAGGAGAAAGCAGCTAGACTAATTATTATATTTACTAAGGTAAGCAGGCGTGAGATATATATCTTTAAAGTAAGAAAACTTAACCTAAAAATTGAATAAATTTCTATAATAATACATTGAATCAAAAAATTATATTCCATAAAAAGATAATTATAAAAATAATTACGTTCAGTGTATAACCTGGCAAACTGATTATGAATATTTTAAGCTACGCTTAGCTGTCAGTGTCAGACCATGTTTTCGAGATACATAATAACTAGACCTTCTTAGCCCACCATAAGAACCGTAGGGGTATGGCGCGACTGCGCATCGGTGAATCGGCGAATCGGTGCTCAGGTATCCGTTTTCCGCCCTTTGCCCCACCAAAAAGTTTCTCGGAGTCGGCATTTGCGCAAGGGTCCTCGACAAGATCTGGTTCTGTTGCTATTGCAAATTCAAAGAACGTGTTTTCACGCCTCACCAGCCGACGATATGCCTCCAAAGCCGCTCGCCTTACCCACACAGCTGCTCAAACAGATCGGTGCGCCGGATCAATCTGCCACCTCAAGGTCTAACCCTCGTTGGAAGAGCCAGGGACAGAACAGAAAAGATCGACGGAAAGCAGACAGGCAGTCTAAAAAGCAGCGACAGACAACAACAAGAACAACATCGCGTGACCACCTTGTGCAGAGCCATGATCCTATCGATAACCACGGAAAGGGTAATGATGGCAAACGTCCTTTCGACGAGCCGGAAGAGCCACGCAGCCCTGCCCCGAAAAAGCGCAAGCGGGAGCATGTCAGCAAATACCAAGACGAAAACGACGACGATGACTTTCAGAAGCCTTTGTTGTTGAACCAGCCCTCTCGTGCCGTGCAAGAAAGGCTGGCAAAAGATGACGCCGAAATCGAGCAGCTTGAGCGTAAGCTAGGATTGAAGAAGGGTCGGAAGTCCATCCCTAAGGCTTTCAAGGATGACGGACTTGATGATTTGCTTGGCGATCTTAACGACAACAACGCATCGGACGAAGGAAGCCACAGAGACAAGAGCGAGGCCGATGCATGGCTTGCGGCAAAACGAAGGAAAGCGACCCAGGACCAAGCAAAAATCAGGTCTACAACGGGAAGCGACGACGACGACGACGATGATCATTTGGGTTTTACAGATGAAGAGGCATCAGGGGAAGAAGATGACGAAGACGACGAGGATGGCGATGGGATTTTCATGGAAGATCAAGGCGACTCTGATGACCAGAGCTCACTGGGAGATTTCGACTCGGAAGATGAGGAGACAGTCCAGGAATCCAAGCCTATCAGAGAGAATCCATATCTCCCACCAGTCTCAGCTGGCACGCAGCTTCCCAAGTACATCCCTCCGTCGTTGCGAGCACGATCAGGCGGCGATGCAGATCTTGAGGCTCAGATCCGAAGGAAGCTGCAGGGTCCTGTCAACAGAGTCACTGAAGCAAACTTGGTATCCATTGTTGGTGAGATTGACAGGATCTATCAGGACAATCCAAGGGGCCACACCAACAATATCTTGACAAGCCTGCTGATGGCTCAAATTTGCGATCCTACAAGCAAGCCCGATACGCTACTCGTCCTGTCAGCCGGCTTCGTTGCTGCTCTCTACAAAGTCATCGGTATCGATTTCGCCGCGCATTTCCTTACCACGGCTGTAGAGCGTTTTCAGGATGAGAGGCACAGAGCAATAGTGGCGGTCAAGGAAGATCGCATACCTACGAAGGAGACGTCTAATCTCCTCACGGTGCTTGCGCAGATGTACATGTTCCGTGTCGTCGGTAGCAACCTAATATTCGACTTTGTGCGTCTCCTTCTCGACGATTTGTCGGAGCTGAATGCCGAGCTCTTACTACGGATTGTCCGCGTATCAGGTCCTCAATTACGAAAGGACGACCCGTTGGCGCTGAAAGATATCGTCAGTTTGATTCGTCCTGCGGTAGCCAAGATTGGGGAGAGCAACCTGACGGTTCGCACCAGATTTATGGTCGAGACCATCAGTGACCTCAAGAATAACAAGATCAAGGCTGGCGCACAGGATCTAGCCATTCTTGGTGAGCATGTGACGCGCATGAGAAAGGTTCTGGGTTCTCTTGACACACAAAAGCTCAAAGCATCAGAGCCCCTTCGCATCGGTCTGAAGGATATCGAGAACGCAGATAAGACGGGCAAATGGTGGCTGGTGGGAGCCAGCTGGGCAGGCCAGGATACACGAGAGACAAATAAGGATAAGGAGAGAAGCGCGACCGTAGGAGATTCCGACGATATGGTGGTTGCGGATGCTGACGATCTGGCGACTCACGATTACACGCAATTGGCAAGAGAACAAGGAATGAACACTGATGTTCGACGAGCCATCTTTATCGCGCTTGTTGCAGCTGCCGACTATCAGGATGCATACATGCGTATTCTCAAGCTACGACTTAACAAATACAACAGACGCGAGGTACCAAACGTGCTTCTCCAGTGCTCAGGAGCACAGCAACACTACAATCCTTTCTACACATTGGTATCCAAAAAGTTCTGCACCGATTCACGGATCAAGCATGCATTTCAAGATACCTTGTGGACGCTGTTCCGGAGACTAGGCGAGCCGCTGTTCGGAGAGGAGGCCGAGGAGGAAGACGAGGAGGGGGTAGACGACCGGCGTCTCATTAATACTGCTAAAATGATGGGAAGTTTGGTTGCTGATGGCTCTGTCAGTCTTGGAATCCTCAAACCACTCAATCTGGCTTACGTCAGGGAGAAGACCAGCTTGTTTGTCGAGGTAATGCTCATCACTGTACTTCAAGAGTGCAGTCACGTCAAGGGCAAGAGCCTGGAGCAAGCCCTTGGAGTGTGCTTCGGCAGCGGGTTGGCGCCAGCCCTCGCGAGGAGCGTAGGCTATTTCTTGCGCAAAAAGGTACGGTCTACAGACCTTGTCAGCGGCAAGAAAGAGACTAGAAAAGTCAAGGAGGCGTGCAAGGTGGCGGAGGCGTTGCTAGAAAAGCCAGACATGGGCGAAGATGCGTAGATCAATAGCTTGAACATGAGGAAAACTACATTGATCTAGCATGACACAACATCGGTTCGCTCGTACCTGAGTCCAAGCAGCTCCGTGATTACGACCTGTGATCTCTCACAGACACTGAAGACAGCCGCATGGTCTCCAGTCACATCCCTGCCAGTCACAACCACTCTATTTCCGTTTCTCTTCTTTACTAATCTTAGTACATAAAGTATCATAGAGAGATGGAAATACCGAGATGGACTTCGGGTATACATTCTCCACAACTGCTGACCGTATCTCACAGCCGGCAACAAGTAGTGCAAGCATATTAAACAGCATGCCTCAGCAGAGAGCGTTCAATCCATGTCCGTAGTGCTGCATACCTATTCGGAAGACCTTGGTCACAGGATGGTATGCCCAGAGCATTCAAAGTAACAGAGTCCCGTTCCTGGACGATAACCTTCCAGCTGGCGTAAAAACGTATGCTTATGCTACAAACTACCTTTTCGAACTTCTATTCGCTGTCCCTCAGGTGATACAAATTACATGCTTCGAATGTCGTTATTTCAGGACGCCAAAGCTTTCCGCCACTCGCACTATTGCATCGCTGTGACTGGCCTTACATGTGAATTGGCTTGGAGTAGGTGGCCATAGCCGCCTCCTTGAAGGCCTCAGCCAGAGTGGGGTGAGCATGGCAAGTTCTGGCGATGTCTTCGCTGGACGCTCCGTATTCGAGAGCGAGAGTGGCCTCCGCAATCATTTCACCAGCATTGGGGCCGATAATGTGGACTCCCAAGATTCTGTCCGTTTCAGGGTCGGCGAGCATCTTGACCATGCCCTCGGTGTCCAGGTTCGTCTTGGCGCGGGAGTTGGCGCTGAAAGGGAATGAGCCGACTCGGTAGGGGATGTCTTGAGACTTGAGGTCCTGTTCACTCTGGCCAACCCAGGCAACCTCCGGATGGGTGTACATGACAGACGGGATGACGCCGTAGTTGACGTGACCGTGGCCCTTCTTGATGTACTCGACAACAGCGACAGCCTCTTCCTCGGCCTTGTGTGCCAGCATTGGGCCAAAGGTGACATCACCAACACAACGGATGTGAGGGATCTTGGTGCGGTACTCGGAATCGATAATGACACGGCCTCTCTCGTCAAGGTCGAGACCAATGTTCTCAAGGCCCAGTCCGCCAGTGTAAGGTCTACGACCAATCGCGACAAGGACGACGTCGGCATCCAGCTAGTGAACAGGTTAACATCTCCTACCAAAAAGGTTTTCGGGCCAGGTCTTACCGTCTCCGGCTTGCCGCCCTTGGCAGAATCAACCTCCAGCTTGACCTTATCGCCACTCTTATCGCCGCTCAGGACCTTGGTGCCCGTCTTGAAGGTAATTCCCTGTTTCTTGAGAATCTTCTGAGAGCTCTTGGCAATCTCGGCGTCCATTCCGGGGCCACCAATCTGGCCGAGGAACTCCACAACAGTCACCTTGGAGCCAAGACGGGACCAAACGGAGGCCATCTCCAGACCAATGATGCCACCACCAATGACAACGAGGGACTCCGGGATCTTGTCGAGAGAGAGCGCACCGGTGCTGGTGACGACACGCTTCTCGTCGATCTCGAGACCAGGGAAGGGAGTGGCCTCGCTACCAGTCGCGATGAGAATGTTCTTGCCCTTCACAGAGGTCTCGCCACCGTCGTTGAGAGAGACCTTAATCTCGTTCTCGTTGACGAAGGTGCCGGCACCCTTGATGTATTCGACGCCATTCTTCTTGAAGAGAAATTCGACACCCTTAGTCAGGCCGCCGACGGCGGTGTCCTTGGCCTTCATGAACTGCTCCAGGTTGACCTTTACATCCGAGACATCGATTCCGCGGTTCTTGGTATCGTGTTTGATGGTGTGGTAAAGGTGGGAATTGTTGAGAAGTGCCTTGGAGGGAATACAGCCAACATTGAGGCATGTTCCGCCGAGAGTACCTCGCTTTTCAATGCAGGCAACCTTCAGGCCCTCTTGACCAGCTTTGATTGCAGCAACATAGCCGGCAACGCCACCGCCAATGACAACGAGATCGTTCTCCTCTGGTAACCGCGTCAGTGGCGTCACAAGGAGTACATTCGGGGTATAAGCAACGCACCAGAGGCCGAAGCGTAGGCACGGCTCCATCTGGAGAGCTGGGGTGCGACGGCGGGGAGTCTACA